ACATAACAGTTACAATAAGGTAGGTTTACTATTTTCAAGGAATTATTTCGTTACTTTTTAGTGTACTGTTTTTTTGGGAATATTTTGTTTTTGGTGTATTTTGTTTTGTTTTTAGTGTATTTTTCTGATGGACCTATCGACCCACCGATCGATCGGACCCAACGAGAAACACCCCTTATAAAACCGTTATACTTTGTTAATCCCTCTGTGTAAGCATACGTGCTTATTTGTCTATCAGAATTCTCGGTAATTGTCAAGAAATTTAATGAATAAAAATAATAAAAGTAGTGGGCACGTAAACGTTTGTAATTATAGCTACAAATCTGATGAGCAAGTGGAACGAAACAGCAAGGCGTAACGGTCTAGACATTTAATTACATCGGCAACTTTGTACTCATACACCTCGACGACATATGTAACTGGCCAGTAAAGCGAAGCTAGTGCACGTATCAGTACCATGGAAGTGTACCTTAAAGGAATTGCTTTATTTTTATTAACTCGATTTATTAATGGAGATCAGTGGTACGCTGCGAGTATAACACAGAAGACAAAATCCAATCAAGAATCAATTTACGCATTCAAAACTACAAATGACGATAACTATACTAAAAATAACTGGCACACAAAAAAAAGATCTGAGTCAACCCTAGCAGCAACAAACGAAACAATAACTTCAATTGCATTTGAGAAACTTTTGTATGACTCGCCTACAAATAAGGAATCAGCTTTTACGTTACCCAATTCAGATAATTGTAACGAAACAAATGGCCTGGAATACAAAAACTTGACAAATATTAGTCTACCTAAACGAGGGATTGCAAAAAAACGTTCAACATTAGACACACGAATTAGACCTAGGTTTCTAGAATTATTTAAAGTTGTTCAATTTGAGCATGTGGTATGTACGGCTACTAATGGTTTAGAAGGTCGGTGTCTCCATGAGTACGAATGTCAAAGTGCTGGCGGCTCTCCAATGGGTGCTTGCGCTGATGGGTACGGAACATGTTGCGTCAGTTAGTACAACTTACGTTTTTATTTATCTGAATATTATAAGGATTAGTATTTTTAAATAGAATTAAATAACTTAAAAATCACTGGGCCAATAAAAAAAAAATCTTTCACCAATTATCGTAGGTTATCAGTGAGTAACATAGGTCTGGTGTACTATTTTATACATCTTTTATACTATTTTTTTTAATTCCACGCGGACATAGTTTCGAGCAACAGCTAGTCTACTATAAAGCCACATTAGTTCTGGCTTCTGCAAATTTCTTCGCTCATTGTTTAAAAAGGTAAATACAATAGAAAATGAACGATATGTTCTTTACAGAATGGCGTCCGAAACTGTAGATCCCGGTAAAAATATTGGTATTAAATGAACTTATCGTTTTCAGTTGTTTTCTCATGTTATGGTGAAACGTCGGCGGCTGTAAGTTGGCTCACTAATCCTGTTTTTCCTTCACCGAGTATCGATCGTCTGGCCTGCGTTCTAACATTGAATAAAATTTCAAATGATATCAAACAAATACGCTTAGATTTCGCCAAATTCGAGGTATTTGTTTTTTTATTTCATAACAATGTAAGTAAATAATAATTGGTACCATAACTAATTGTTATTTTACTAAATAATCTTAATTATAACTAATATTATAAAGAGGAAAGATTTGTATTTTTGTTTGTATTGGTATAACTCAAAAATACTTGGCCCATAATAATTTATCTGTGAGTAACAGATGCTTTTTTTTTGTTATTTTTGAATTTTACGCGGACGAAGTCGCGAGCAACAGTTAGTCTACAATAAAATTTTATTCATGCAATGCATTAAAATAGCTTTCCTGTTTTAATTTTTTCTAAAAAACATACGAAACTTTTACAGTCATAGATTTCCTATCTCTTGGTAAGCATCATTCCAATCCAAGACAAATTCATGAAAAAGCATTCGATTTATTAATTACCTTATATCCCATAGCTCATGCCGCCTACTTCAGGTTCTTGTGACCAGGACCAGTTTGTGGTTTCAGGACAGAATACCAACCATGTTATACCAATTATCTGCGGAATTAACACGGGCCAACACGGTAATACAATTCAATTTAATTATACCAAATTTCCCTTTAGTTTTAATAATTTGTGTATCAAAATCGAAAAAAAAAACATTTACCGGTCACAGGTGATGAATCTATCGAACTCATGATTTACAAGAATCATCGTTTGCCGCGGCTATTTCCCAGAATAACATTGTATTGCCATCTCTCTCAATCTCTATGACATATCTGAGATAGCAATATTTATTTTTCGCTTGGATGCTACGGCCAGTGGATTTTAACAGCCAGTAAACTTACCATTTCTGAATACTTAGTTCATAAAAAAATAATGAATACATAATATTATGCATGTTATTTAAATACTTTGTGCTTACAATGTTTAGATAAAGTTATATTACAAGTTACGAAGTGTTAAATTAGTAATTACACGCTACTTAATTTGCAATTTAAATAATTTTACGTTTTTGCAAATTTATCTTGATAATATGTAATTATTTAAAGTCAAGTGAAAATAGTTATTATTTTTAGATTATAAACAGTGATTTTATATATTCACATTTCAGTATACATAGAAGTTGGTAATACGGAAGGACCTATACGTTTGACAATTCAGACAGTAGCAGCAGAAAGTCGATTATTTGCAATTAAGGTGCGTATCGCGTAATTATTTTCCAAAAATATAGCACCTGATACAACGTTTATCCAAAGGACTTGCGTCCCTTTTTTACCATACTTTAGGGGAGGGTTTTAAATGTTTATGGCGCCCCTTTCGGTCCAACGCCTTGGGCATTAGCCCAACTGCGCTCTACCCTAATCTTTACTGAGAACTGATTCATGATTACCGCAATTTCATGGTTTACTAATTGTAAAATAACATTTTAAATTCATTTTTTTAAGGCAACTCAACTAAAAAGGTCCGACATTTTAGCCGCGCCGGCTGGATGTCTACAATACTTCAATCAGCCGCATGGCTACATAGAATCATTCAATTATAGTAACATACTGGACATCACCAGCGTATCTTATCCCAGTTATTTGGTGAGTTATTCTTGATTTATTTACACCACAAATGCCGTTTTAGGAATCTAGAAATACGGAAATACTTATCTTATTTAACGATAACATATGATATAACTATAAACCTCATGATGAGTATAAAATAACCATTATGTTTACTTTAAGAACAATTTGAATTACGCAATTTGCATCAAGCGAGAGAAGTCGTCATGTAGCGTCACGTACACGAATGAAGATCCTATGCAAATAGTTAATTATGACAATGGTGAGTATAACCAATGTTTAAACACAGATATCTAATGTCGACAAGCATACGCATGTTATTTATCAATATACTTCATAATAAATACATAGCCTTTATTTCATTTGTGGATCCAAGTTCCAATAAAATAAATAAAAGTTTACAAAACTACAGTTTTACATTTAAAATAGAAAATTGAAAGTTAAATAACGTTAAGAAATTATAAGTTACAGTTTACTCTTCTAATATTCGTTTTTTGCTTAATTTCTGCAGATCTGTTTGAATTTCGGCAAAGGTCTCCTCCAACCTTATCCACTCATGCCTTTATCGCGCTATGATCAACGTCGCTCCTGCCACACGATTAATGTCGTCATCCTATGTTTTTAGCGGTCTACCTCTTTGTCTTTTTCCGTCCCTGGAATACCACCGAGTCAGGATTTTACTCAATTTGTATGGTCCTTTTACTGTGTGTCTTGCCCATCGCCATTTGCCGAGGAGGATATTCCCCAAGGACAGGATCATACTTCATACTATAATAAATGGGAGTTTAGATGGATGGATTTGTGACAAGACACTCGAAAACGGCTAAACGGATCAGTATAAAAGTGACAGAGTTAGATTAATTGTTTGAAATCACAAAATTAAGGGTACAAATAGGAAAAGAAGTCCGCCATACACTTTCAGTTTAACTGAACAATCTAACTGTACATTTAAATCGTATGTTGTAGGCAAATCAAACGACTGTACAGTTTAACTGATAGTTAAAACTGAAGGTGTATAACGGGCTTTGTAAAACCGATTTTGAAGATTCTGTAATTTTTCGAAGAGTTAGATTTTATATCAATTTTACTAAACAGATGGTCTTCCATTAATTCCACCACGTCAGGCCGGTGTCGAGATATTTAACTGTCCGAGCGACTGGCTGCTAATATCCGCTGTGAGGCTCTGTGGGGAGCGCCTAAATGATGGATCTGTTATACAAGATTTTTATTTAGACGCACCAATCACAGGTAAAATGCCCGACCACTCGTGTTTGCACGCTTAAAATTGTTCCATTTAATCTTTTGTAGAAATTATTTCACAAATGTTATCTATCTATCTCTAGCTATCCCATGGGATGCATGTTTTACGTAGTTAGCATACTATTTCGGAGTGTTCTCTATTGGAAGCAGGCTGTACCTAACACTTTGTTAATACAAATTGTTTCAATATTTCGCGAGGCATTAATTTTTCGCCTCGTGTTTTTAATAAGTAAACTAGCACTTGACATATGATCCTAGATAATAGGTGGTGATGTGCTCGAAATTGAAAGAAATATATTTACATACATTTTATTTAATTCCGTATGTATACTAGTTTTCGGAAGAAATACTTCGAGAGATAATAATATTGCAAGCAACGCTGGTTAACATTGGTTATCTTTTCAGATATTAGTGCAGGACCTATAGTGGTTTGGTTTAGATCTGACGAAGCCTTTGTAGGACGAGGTTTCAAGGTCCATTATCAGCAGAGTTCTTGTGCAATGTCAAAGAAATAAAAAAAATAGAAATTTTTTGTGTTGTTTTCATTACATAACTTATGTTTTATCTATGTTTTACGTTGTATAATGTAAGGTTATAAAAAAATATATATTCGTGCTGATCGGAAATCGTAATATATACGTAAATATTTAGGATTTGATTATCGTATCAATATAGCAAAATAGAAAGTTTATTTTGTATGACAATATTTCGAAAAAAAAATCTACAAGTCTTTCTAAAATCTATGGAGATAATTGTTCGGGTTGTAATGTTCTAAATATTGTAAAGAGGAGACATTTGTATTTTATGGATTTTTGTATGTATTTAAATAACTCAAAAACTAATGGGCCACTTTCAATAATTCTTTAACCATTAAAAAGCTATGTTATCTGTAACATGGGTTATGCTTTACAATTTTTTAATTTCACGCGGACGAAGTCGCGAGCAACAGCAAGTAATTTATAAAGATTATACAATGGTACAAGGTATGGTACATTATTAACATGAAGTAATTCAATACAAGGAAATACATCAATGAGTAACATTTGGTTTCAATAATAAATAACAAATTAAGATTAAAGGAACACAAATTTATTATACACTGAAAACAATTATTGCACAGCCTTCTTTTCCGTTTTAATTCGCTCTATGAGGCCATCCCTGACTATTTTATGGAAAGAAAGAATTATTGGCACAGTAACAGCCCTTAAGAAACCTGTTGTTAAAATTTGCATTAAGACCTGTCCAAAACTGTCTATAGAACTACAATATAGAGTTGCCAGTAACTGTCCACTGATACCAAACACAGAGTATGTCTTTCCATTCTGAAAAAAAAAAACACATATATAGTAATAAAATATTACTGACCCTTTAGATTTTGTTATGAGCATTATGCAGTTGATTAACAAAACTGACTCATACCAAAGCATCTTCTAGCATTTTCTTTCCAACTGATTGAGGCGACTGCAATCCCCCAGACCCTGAGATTAACTTGGTTTCTTTTGGCTTAGTAAGTTCTTCTGCTTTAAAACCAGGGGTATCAGTATCTGGTGGAAATGCCAGCATCAACCTAACGTCAGTGCCAACTAACTCCATTAAAACTGATTCGGCTAGACCTCGGACAGCCCATTTTGCAGCACTATAAGCACTGTAACCATATATACCTGAAATAATATCAGATAAACATATTATAAGATAAACATGAATCATACTATGAATATCTTTAAATTCCACTCAAAATAAGTAAGTAATAAAATATAAAATAACATTTTAAGACAATAAAACTGGTTTACAAAACAAGTTATATTTTAATGTTGAGAGCCGGAAAATATTAACATATTCACTGCAGTTTTTCTTGTTCATGAAGATATAAATAAAAATAAAACATCATTTACTTGGAACTAGCTAAAAAACTGATTCATTATTCCATGTATTGTTCCAGACAATGTTCCACATCTATAGCAAACTTTCATCCAAATCCATGCAACATTCCTGATATTACATAGTAACAAATATCCATCCATCTAACCAGATTTTCGTATTTATTGCACTAAGAATAGTTTTTTTTGTTCTCAATAATAATCACTTACCCAACAATGCTGCCTCTGATGATACAAAAACAACAACTCCTTCATTTCTTTTTTTCATGCCTTTCAACACATATCTGGTGGGATATGCAGTACCGAAATAATTCAAATCAATCATTTGTTTTATATCTTCGATTTTCATAGTTTCAAATTGCCCACAAATGCACATACCAGCACAGTTGATGAGCATAAATATTGGACTGATATCAACTTCCAGAGATAATAAACATTTTTCTATAGACGAATAATCTGATGTAATATCCAAGGCAGCATACTGAATTTTTTGTTCATTATTGGACTTACATTTTGAAATATCATTAACGGCACTTTCAAGCTTGGTGAGATCACGCCCGATAATTGTTACGTGAGCTCCTAATTTAGCTGCCTCCTCAGCTACTGCTTTCCCAATTCCACTGGAACCCCCAGTAATTACAACATGCTTAAATCTTAAATTTTTATACACCTTTTTCTTATCTAACCCAAAGTGTAAGGTTACCAATAAAGCGCTTATCAGGACTAAAATTAAAGAAGTTACTATAACGAAAACCATCGTGGTAAGACTTTAGTTTTAAACACTAATCTTACTAACTAAACCTATTTCCTTGTTTTTACAATAAACACATAAAAAAATAACTTTAATCGAATTTAAGTTTGAGTCTAATCTATTTGGCGCTAGACGTCAAAGTCAACTAAACCGTTATCAAAAGACACAAACCGTTTTGATATGACGTTAAAGCATGTTTCACACTTGGCCAGTACAGTTACAGTCAGTTATGTGGGCGTAGCACGTAATGACTGGACTGTATATCAATTGGCACAGCGTTTACGCTAACTGGTATCAGTGAGCATATCAGTCTGATGTTTGGCGGAACATTCCACTTTTTTGTACGGACCAGCCATTTCGTCCGTCGCAACTGGCGTAGTGTGACCGTGCTGTCCTAAGTGCAAAGTCGTGGTGTGCGCTGGTTTAATTATAATAGAAAAAAACCACAAGTTGCTTTTTTAATGCAATTATGATTTAGACTATGAATCTGTAATTTTATTTGTCAAAGTTTTTATTCGAAAAATTTCGTTAAAACCGTAATGACTGCCGGAATTAAAAAAAAGAAATATTCTGATGCAGGAAAGCATATGTGATAATTTGATAGTATAGTAATTTAACATGGGGTTTTGGGTTTATAAAATTAGTGTTTAAAATTAAAAAAAACCCAATCGTTAACTAGAACCCATTGCCACTGTAGTCTTGATGACTCCAAGGTTGTCTTTGTTGGACGGTTACTTTCCCCCGTCCGGGGCTCTGGAGGTGTGGGGCTATTGAAACACTTTCTTCTAGTTAATCATCATTATATTTAA